TGTTGTAACTGATGGTGTCATGAACACAGAGGAGCACGGCCGGGCATGGCCTGGGCAAACCATGTTGTCACAGGATGAATATTTAACCATCACCTGTGCGCCCCGGGAAGGGGATAATGAAGGCTGGACCCCTAGTGGGGCTCACACACTGTCCTCAGCACACGAGCCGCCTCGCTCGCACAGCTGGCATGACGGGGCTCCAGGGAGTGCAGATGATGACACCTTGGAGTAGAGGCGCATCCCTGGTGGGCACAGACCCTCGGGTCCACCCATGGGTGGCCGGTACTTCACTCGGTGGTCTCTCTGCACGCTGATGAGGAATGGCTGCCCCCTGATAATCACTCTTCGACCCACTCACACCTCAAGGGGTCTGACAGGTATGGGTGCCTGGCTGGGCAAGGTTGGCACTTTCGTGTCCAGGGGAAGGGCAAGGCCCCACTCAGCTCTTCATGAGCACAGCCTGGGCACCCCAGCACTGTCCTCTCACAGGCTGGCGTGGGGGCTCAGGCTCGCTGTAGGGTTTGATGGAGCCAGGGAGACTCCCAGGGAGGCCCAGGTTAAGTGGCTGCGAGCTCACCACCTGTCTGTCGGGGACTGGCCCCAATCATGGTTTGTTGGGGGGCAGAAGAGGCAGGGTCTTAAGGTAGGGGCAGCCTCGGCGAGCAGAGATTCCTAAAAAGGGGGGAGAAGAGGCGTGGGCATGAGGAAGACGCAGGAATCAGAGTTGGGTGCAAGTCTTCCTGTTCTGCTCTTAGCAGAAGTTTATTTTATACATTAGGAGCAAGCAGTGGGATGACATCAGCACATGACCTGAGCTGAGGATTATAATAAATCTTTCAGAGCATTTCCCCTCCATCCGGATCCTGTCTGGCGACAGAAGTTGCATATAGCTTGTGTCACCTGTCACACTGCAAGTCTGTGCGTTGCCCCTGCCCACTCCCTCCCAGGTCCTCTGATCCCCGTGAGTCCCGGGGAGGCAGCAGACAGGTACAGACACCTGTCTCAGCTGCTTGCTGAGGCTGCACCTGCTGCCCGCTGGCCCTGCTCAGGGAGCTGGTCATTGATGCCAAGCAGAGCTGGCTGGTACCCACGTGCCCTCCTGCCATATTTGCACGGCTGCTCCTCCAGTTGTTACCCCCAACTTCTCCACTGTGAGCCCCCAGTGTGTGTGTGTGGGGAGGTGGTTTTAGCCCTGAGTACAGGGGTCTGCTGATGTGGGATGGCCTGCTGGGCCCTGCCCCACTCCCTGGGCCAGTGCAGGTGTGCCCTGGGGGCCTGTCCGTTCCTGGCACAGGGGACCCCCTCAGGACTCAGAAGCAGCGCAGCAGGGGTGCTGCTTTGGCGCTCAGCCCTGACTCCCAGCCTGTCAACACATTTGCCTCGGACCCTCAGCTCAGGTAGAGCTGAGAGCTGGGCCCCATCGGAGCCTGCTGCAGCTGCGCACACACCTGCGCCCCGGTGCCCTGTGGACAGCCCGGCTGGTCCTGATGCCTCCTGCCCTGCTCACCCAGCACCCAGGAGCAACCCGGAGCCCTGGGCAGGCCGCTTGAGAACTTCCTCCCAGCTCACCCTTCATTCCTCTGTGGGTGCTGAGGGCTCCCCTAGTTTCCTTTCCCTCCGCCGTCCTCCTCACCTTTAAGGTGATTCTCCTCTATCTGGCTCTGCAGGAAACCCACCCAGTCTCCCCAGCTCCCACCTTCCTCACTGCTCCCCAAACAATTGCCTCAGGGAGAAAAAGGAGGAAGGAGGACAGACAGGTGGGGAAAGGAAAAGGCAAGGTGGAGACAAGGGGAGCGGAAGGGAGAGGAAGAAGGGGAGCATGAAGGAGGGGAGCTCTCCCTGGTGGCACAACTGGGCACTATGAAGCTATCGCAGCCACTGCAGTATGAGTTCAGACCCCCCACAGCCATCCCAGGGAGGGACCCACTGGGCACAGCACCTCTCTGTCTCCCCACTGCTCCCCTCAGCAGTGCATCCCACTAGATCTGCCTGTTCTGCTCCCCACTCTGTCTCTGGGCAGTCCTCTCACATACACCCCACACCTCTGGCCTGTACCCCAGTTCTGAATGCATTTTTTTTTTTAAGGGACAGCGTGATGAACAGGGGAGAAAGGCGGACCCAGCTCCGTAGCTCCCTCTCCCCTCATGGGCACTTTCCATCACTTTCCAACCAAGTTCTGCTTGAGTGAGCTCCAAGCGGCAGTCAGAAACCCTAGCTGCACTTTACCTGGCCATTGAAAACTGGAGATCTAGGGAGAAGCCTGTTTGTCTGACGACATTGTCTAGGTGTGGACGAGGAGGAAGAAATACTTTTGGCATTCTGCCTTTTTTTTTTTTAAGGTCTTTGTATTTTCCTGTTAATACCTGAACCTTTGCCATGTAAATAACACAGGTAAAGATAAACTCGATTGGCCCTGGACTCTGAACTTTAACATCCTGGCTGCTCTCTGGTCATCCTCCTTCCCACAACCGGAAAATTTGGAAATGTTATCTGGGAATTTAGAGTCACAGAATAAATAACCCAGAGGCAAAGCATGTTGATTTTAGACCAGCTTTAAGAGTACAATACTATCAGCACGTCTTAGCCTCCGTCCACTGCTCTGACTCTGTTCCTCCACCCGGCAAGCTACAGGGTCAGTCCCCTTTCCAGTCACCTGCTCGGGCCCCCAGTGGCCCTGCTCTCTGTCAGTATGCAGCTTGCCCACTCTCATGGCACTGCACCACTTACTGAGACAAGAATAAGTCCTTTTCCTTGCTATGCAGCACACCTGTATTTATTCCTTTTCTTTCTCGCGTGCTTCTTCTAACAGTGTTTCCTGAAAGGGGCTATCGGTGATAAACCTTCAGATCGCCAATATTCCATTCAGCCAGCAGTCAAACTCTAGGTTCAAAGGTCTCCGACCTCTTTGATACTTTTAAAGTGTCACTCAACTAAATCCAGAGTGGCTGTGAAGAAATCTGAAGTCACTCTGATGTTTCTCACCTGTTTGGAATATAGATGTGATGGCTGGAGCTTCAGCTGCCAGTTTGGCTCATGAAGATGAGCTGGGAGAATAGTCATGTGGCATGAAACCTGAGTCTTCAAAGAGCTAATGAAGTAGCTACTATATTAGCCATGAAGGATTCACCCCCAAACCTCTACAAGAGAAAAAAACTTTGTAACTCCGTTATCAGTGACTGAATGAATCTTACTTCATGCATCAATTATACTCTGCAGAAGTCTACTTAGCTTCCCCAGTGAGTTCAGTTCCCTGCATCTCTATGACCGTGACTGGCAAGGAGTGCACCCTCCCTCCCTCCCTTTGAACGTGGGCTGTGTGAAGGTAGGAACTTGTTCTAGTTTCTCTCCAGCTCTAGGCACAGCACCTGGCTGAGATGCTCAACAAAGCAAGTGAACAGCTGCTGGGTGGAGACCCGCGTGTTATCTGGAACCAGCTCAAATGCATCAGTTCGCATACCAAAGCTGTGAGAGACTGAACTAAGAGGCGGACCCCTCCAGATTGGTAGATCCGATTTGAATGAACCAAGGAACTTCACAAGGCTTTGTCTTGAGCACCTGCAAAGTAGGGAAGTTTCCCCACATACACCCACCCTGCCCCCCCCTCACAGAGGCTCCCAGTCTGCCTCACTGCGCAGTCATGCAGTCCAGACAGTCTCAGACACATCCCACAGCACCTCTCCTCCAGGCCCTATCCTTGGGTCAGCCTCTGGGGCCACATCCCAAAGGGAGGAGTTTAGCACTCTCCCTTCAGCGGCAACCCCCAAGCCCATCCCTGTCATTTAAGCAGTTATCTTCTTTTGCCTGCCTTCCCCCCAAAGGACTGAATCACCGAGCTGGAACCCAACCTCACTCCAGCCCAGGGCTTCTTGCTGCAAAACTTAGACTTTTCGGGTGCAAACCCCCACATCTCTACACTGAGCAAAGACAGAATACATAGTCAAGAGATGGGGGCCTTCCCCCAAACAGTGGCTAAAACAAATGTTGGATGAGTCCATTTAGGGCAGGGTCGCTTATATATCTTTGAATTTAGTGTTTGGTTACAGTAGGTGTTCAAAAGAAGTTGGTTTCTCCAGTGGGCATACGCATTCTCCAGCAGAAAATGTTGACAGCAGAATTACAGGAGGCAGGAAACAGAGTAACTAACTAGACAAGCAGGTGTGGGGGGGCGGCAGTGGGGGTTATATGGTGAAGGAGAGGGCTGAGTATTAACTTGTTCTTGACCCAGGGGACCTTTGGTCTATTACTGTGTAACAGAGGGCAGTAGAGAGACCCGCGTGCCCAGTGCCACAGTCCCGGGCCAGGCAGATGAAGTGCAAAAATAAGTTGCACGAGGTAGAGTTCAAATGCTCAACATGGTCTGGTCTGGAGAGTGGCCATTGCATTGGACAATACGGATGTTATAAATATTTCCGTCAGCGGAGGTTCTCTTGAACAAAGCTGACCAGACCCTGACAATAAAGGAGCGCACCTCTGCTTCCCACCTGCCCCCACCCCAGCAGATCATCGGACCCCTGGGCGAGGGCAGTTGTCACCTCTTGGTTTCCACCCGATCTCCAGTGGCAAAGGAATAAGTATTTGTCGAAATAACGAGCCCTCGGTAAGTTTGTGTTAAATGTTGAAGACACAAAGATGCGTTCAGTGACAAATAGAGGGGGAGCGCAAGGGGTGTCCGGCTTCCCCTTCTGGGTGCGTTCAGGCCCCACCCCCCTACTACTCTAGCGCAACTATAGGGGGCCGCCTCCAAAGTCCCCAACAACAACCACGCCCCGGACACCACAGAAATGTCTCCTGAGACATTTTACGGGGGTGGAGTGGGGAATGGGATCAAAAACGGGGTGGGGGGAGGGAAGTGCACCGAACTGTGGTGATGGCTCGAGGGTGAACTGGTGGCGGGAAGCCCACGGGGATTGCAATGCAACTGAGATGGAAAAATGCACAAAATGATGTAAAAGTAAACTGCTATATTATACTACATTAAATAAATTTTTTTAAAAGTCTCCTGCAGGTCCGCAAGCGAGCTAGCACGAGGTACCTCTTCACGCCGCCTCCCTGCCCCTTCATCTCGTGCCCAGTGTCCAGTAGGTGCCCAGATAACGGTGGGGTGTGCGCGTGGGCGGAGGGCGCGACCAGCACCGAGGGCTCAGTTTCCCCGCGGG